CTCGATGCTTAACAGAAGCACCAGACCAAATGTGATAGTATTATGTGTGGGCGAATGGTAGATGTATGAATGTATAAGATTTGTGCTAAAAGTATCTAGCACTCATATTAAAACAACTCTTCTCGCAGAAAACCCCAAAATTTGATTCAATATCATTTTCCAGCTTCCTATCAGCCTTTAGGCGCATGAGTAAGACTGGCGGAAGAGGAAAAAATTTTGAAGAGGGAAGTTTCTTTTTGAGGAGTTCAAATTAAGAAGCCTTTTCTTACATCAATTAACAACAGACTGTACTTAATTTTTAGATTAGCTGCCAATTTGACATTATTTTACCGATCAAGCTTTCCAGTAAGACAGGTGTAAATAGTTGATTCATCAGCATAGATTCCGAGTTGAGAAATGTTGACATCAGGAATTGCGTTGATGATAATTAAGATCAATGTAGGTCCAATGATAGAGCCAGGCAGGATAGGGTCATTAATGCAAAAAAGATCTAGAAGAGTGGCCGTTCAAGAGAATTTTCATTTCACAATTAGATAAGAAAAAGTGAATCTAATAAATAATTCATTCACAATTAACATAACCTTTCAACTTGTGAAGATGCCTTCGTCAAACGCCGTCGTGTTATGCAAATCATCAGCCTGAGTTTTACAATTCTTATCTGAAGTTTGATAGTATATGTGGTAATGTAATGTCCCACACTCCCTATCGCCTATGTGGAATGACTATATCAATAGCTATATATAATGAGCACTGGATATACCTGGGGGCTTCCTTCGGGAATTAGTTGGAGATTCGTCCCCACCTGTGTTGAATGAAGTCTCTGCTCTCGGGCAAAAATCCAGACGAGGATATGCCAAAGGGCAGAGTCTCTTCTGGAGTGGTAGACAGCTACTCGACCACATCTATACGAGTTCTACGGGGAATTTTTGCCCGAGCCTACGGGATCGGTTGTGACTCGGTTGTGCCATATCCTGCCTCGCGTGGAGGTAAGGTAAATAATCTTGCTTCAGGAATTAGTCTAGAGTTGGAGATTCGTCTCCGGCTGTGCTGGTCAAACTCGCTGCAGAGAGGATCTCCAGACGAGGATATGTCGAAGGGTAGGGTCTCGTCTCGGGAAACAGCTACCCGACCCCGTTTTATACGGGGAAGTTTTGACCGAGCCTACGGGCTCGGGTACCCCACATTAAATTTGGCCTTGTGCCACATCTGCCCGCCTGGGGAGGTTGGTAGATATTCTTACTTTGGGAATTACTAGCCTGCCACCCGATTCCCTGTCTCTCAGTAGTGTACTCTCTTTTAACAATAAACCTCGCTTCTTTCATCTACGCGCGTGTTGCTGTTCCTTCACTCGAGTACCACCTTTGTCTGTCTGTAATATCATTAAGGGTAGAGCAGTATATTTTTGCAATAACCGTTAACACATCACCAGTTGGTTAAAGGAACCGAAAGCTATATGACCTGTCTATATAGAAGACCCTAGGAGGTAAGTTTCTTAACCAATTCAGAGTTGATTGGAACTGGTGTTTTGCAAAAAAAAAAAAAGTGATAAATGACTAATAAGCCAACACAAGTGCCAGACCATTTTCGTGAGTTCTTAAAGGCTGGAACTACAGAAGATGATTTCCAACAACCAGGAAAGCAAGAAGCAGCAAGGTTTTATTGTATAGTTTCGATAGAAGAGGAGCCTGTTAGGCAGCACATTTCTTGAGGAATATTAAGGGGACATCATCAAGCCCCTGTGTTTGAGAGATGATAACGGAAACAATAAATGGAGTTATGTGCATATCACAGAGTAGAAACTCAGTGCTAAGTAGAGATTCAGGTAAAGTTACTGTAAACTGAGTCAAAAAAAAGTGATAACATCTCAAATTGGGTGAAGAGAGTTTGTATAGAAAATTGCTCTTATTTAACACACTGTTACAGAGCCGTCAGTAGTCACGACAACCAAAGTTGTTTTGATCGTCTTATTCTGTCAGCGAACAAAAAATTAGCCTCTTTGAGGACATGTTCACCGTTGAAGCTGGACGTAGGAGAGGACGCCATTACAACATCTTGTTGGAAAAATGGAGAGGTATGACTGTACCAGAATTGTTGATAGACCGTTGTGGTAAAAAAAATTAGTGTGGCTTCTGCATTCGCATCCACCCTATAATTACAAATTTCATGGGGATGATGATGATGATGATGATGATGATGATGATGATGATGCAAATAAAAAGTTTACAGTAGAGAAGGTAATGGAATGGCTACCATCAAATCCCGATCTGAATCCAATTGAAAATCTATGGCAGACGAAATTATATGAAGGTAAAATGAAATTATATGAACGTGGCAAACAATATGACAGCAGATCAGGCCTATGGGAAGCAATCAAAAACAAACACGCCAGAAACTGAACTTGCTGAATTAAAAAAAAAATAACAAAACCAATGGATAAGGCTGACTTTTATTGAGAATAAGGATCACTATATCAAGAGATAAATGCTTCAACGACTTATATGTTTGCTATTTGTTTTATTATAACTGTTAGTCAATTTCTGATGATTATATCGCATTGTTATTGAAATAAAAAGTGATTTACTGGATTTTCAAACTGTAGTTTGTTTTTTTTTAATAAAAGCCAATAAAAATAATAATCATATTAAAACTACCAAAATTAATCATGTAAAATTTGACAAAAAATGTTCAAACTAAATTCAAGTTACTGAAGTCTATAGATTTGCATAACTAATTCAGATGATCTGTGTACTGGCAAGAAATAGCTTGCATGAGGATAGAAAATAAATTCAATAAATATACAAAAATACAAAAGGGTGTAAGACAAGGAAGTGTCTTCTCGCCAGACTTTTTCAACCTATAGAGTGAGGTAATTCAGAAAGAATACATTATTACCGACCTCAATCCTTGCAACATAAGATATGCATTTGACTGCAGACACAGAAAGGAAACTAAAGAAATCCTACAGAAGCTAGTAAAGAAAAGCGATAAGAAAGGACTAAACATTAATTAATCAAGAAGACAGAATACATGTCTGTTTGCAAAAGAGACACCCCAACATACAAGTTAGAGATAGCAATATCAAGCAAGTACAATAATTTCTATATCTGGGTAGTGTTTTCAAGTGCGACACTGAAAACCGATAGAGAAAATGTCTTTCAAAAACTAAGCAAAGTATGAAGAAACAGACAACTTTTGTTAAAAACAAAGAAAAGAGTATTGATTGTTACGTAAAATCATTCCTCCTGTAAGGTAGTGAGTGCTGGAAAATATCCTCAGATGAAGTAAGAGACTTGAAGCAAGAGAAATCGGGTTCCATAGAAAAAAGAATAGTATGGAGCAAACCTGTGACCCACGATGAAGTTTTAAAGAAAATGCTTAAATAGTACAACCATATTTAACATCAGGAAAAAAACATTTGGCATTTATAGTGCAGATAAGGAGGAAAGATGGCTTGGAAATTGTGGTACACACAGGACAGATTGAAGGCAAGAGGGAGAGAGGAAAGCAGAGCGTAATCTACGGAAAGAGATTTGGTAAATAGCTGATAGAATATGGATTAGGAAAGATCGCTATATGACTCGTCTTCAGATACTTACTCACAGACATGATATTGCTCCCCTTTGTCTTTTCTAAACATATTTTTATGGCTACTGTTCGGACAAGTTTTTCCCCTGGTGCTCCGACTAAATTAATTTAAGGGTGCTACTAGATTGGTATTTAGGTCCCACGCATTTACTGTTGAATTAATCAAATCTAACCGCCGCTTCTGCTTCAACAGTTTTGTTCCTCGTACTTACGACATTGGAACGTCCTCCCTCACACTTGCGTCCCTGATAACTACATTCTTCAAATATTCAACGTCAGTAGCCATCCTCTGTTGCCTTGATACCTGTCCTTTTTTTTTAAATTTCCTAAATCCAAACGACACCCACTTTTTTCTCTCACTTTTACTCTGCGTAACCCCCAGCGTGTTAGTGGCACTCCTGCGTTTCATGGTTGGTGAGGGGGCGTCTAAAAAGCAGAAAATTGTAGAGAGCCCTGATCGCCCACATCCATAGGTGATAGAGCACATAGAAGAAAAAAGCCACGACTACACCATTATCAGTGAATACAGCTAACGTATTGGTTATTTTAACAGTTCATGAGTTCTTGTTCGGGTGTCTCTAATCTGGAAATGCGTGTGTTCCTAGTGTGTGTCTTAAAGTGGATGACGGATAGGTGGACCATTACCCTCACGCCAGGGGTGTAGAGGGAAGAGTTGTGTTGATTTTCAGCCCAGACGAAACATCAATATTTGCAAACCGGTTTTATCGGAGTTTTATGCGATTTAAGCGCCGCATCGGGTCTGTTCGATATACGGACACACACGTCAATAAGTACAGAAAACAAAGGACGCATACACACACATCCACAATTTGAAATAACGAACACACGAAACAATACAATGAATGTTAAGTCATCCTTTACGACGTTTGTACTGGAGCAATTACTTTTATTTCCCGCCGAACTCATTTGATTTTATAGATGGCATCTTGCCTGCCTGATACCTATGCGGCACTCATATAATCAAAAGAGGGAGGCGACTATATCAGTATGTTATTTCATCAGTGAATTTATTTCGTTGCAGAATTGATCAGTGTGATTAATGTTCAAGTGTTAGGTTAAGTTCACAGAGAGAGAAGATTATGTTGAAACATAAATATTTGTTGTATAATATTCATAGGTAAGCTATTGAATGATTAATGTAATTAACTTCATATCTTATATAATTTATTTATTTACATATCTATGTATAAAATGGGGATATCTAAGCAGCATTTTTTTTTAAGATAAGAGACAAGTTATCGATATTATGTTTGTTATCACTTTTTGCTGTTGACGGCTTTATTTTCGTATCTTGACGTCAAAGGTGTAGCGGAATTGACCATAGTTCAAAACTCGCTCTTCAGCTTCTCAGCTTTCGATTAGTTTCAGTCGTTATCATGAAGGAAAAGAATTAAATGGAATTCAAAGTAAAATATAATATTTATAAATTGTCTGTTATCTATAACCAAACAATTAAAAATCTATCTGTCATTTTCTTTCTATCTAGTTTTATGTTCGTTTATTTGTTTCTCTCTATCCACCTATCACATTCTATTCATTATTCATCTATCTCATCCTCTTCATTATCTATCTATCTATCTATCTATCTATCTCATTCTATTCATTATCTATCCATCTATCTATCTATCTATCCCATTCAATATCCATTCATCTATCTATCCATCCATCTATCTCATTCTATTCATTATCCATCCATCCATCTATCCATCTATCTATCTATCTCATTCTATTCATTATCTATCTATCTATCTATCTATCTATCTCATTCTATTCATTATCCATCCATCCATCTATCCATCTTATTCATTCATTCATATATCCATCCATCCATCCATCCTCATCATTCTATTCATTATCCATCCATCCATCCATCCATCTCATTCCATTCATTATCCATCCATCCATCCCATTCTATCCATTATCCATCCATCCATCCATCCCATTCCATTCATTATCCATCCATCCATCCATCTATCCCATTCTATTCATTATCCATCCATCCATCCATCCATCCCCATTCATTCATTATCTATCTATCTATCTATCTATCTATACATCCATCTATCTCATCTATTCATCTATCCATTCATCTATTCATCTATCTATCTATCTATCTCATTATTCATCTATCTATCTATCTCATTCTATTCATTATCCATCCATCTATCTCATTCTATTCATTATCTATCTATCTATCTATCTCATTCTATTCATTATCTATCTATCTATCTATCTCATTCTATTCATTATCTATCTATCTATCTCATTCTATTCATTATCTATCTATCTATCTATCTCATTCTATTCATTATCTATCTATCTATCTATCTCATTCTATTCATTATCTATCTATCTATCTCATTCTATTCATTATCTATGTCTGTCTATCTAATTCTATTGATTATCTAATTCTGTTCATTATCTATCTGTCTCATTATCTGTCTCACCCTGTTTATTATCTATCTATCTACCTGTCTGTTCGTTGGTTAATTTATTTATTTGCTTCTATCTATCTATCTATCTATCTATCTATCTATCTATCTATCTATCTCAAATTTATCTTTCTTTCTTTCTTTCTTTCTTTCTCTTTCTTTCTTTCTACTTTTCTGTTCCTTTCTTTCTTCTTTATTTCTTTAGTCCATCCGTGTCTATCATTCTATAGACTATAACTCTCAGAATATCATCACTTGAATACTTAAAAATAACAGACGTCATTTCTATTAGAGTTTTTCAACAATTCATTTCCATGTTTTACTGTTAAAGGTGTATCGGAACTGTTTACAGTTTATATTAGCTCTTGTTAAGTTACTAGTCATCGATTGGCTTCAGAATGAGAGAAAGAAAATTCAGTGTACGGTTAGTGATAGTTTGCATTATTACGTTGGTTTGAAAGTTTCAAATGCTTCTGATGTCACATGAGATTTCTGGGTTTTTTTTTTCAGTATTAAAAAAATGTTTTGAATAAACTTCATATATTTCGAGAATTTAAACTAATTCCAAACCCATAAGTGATTTTGCTAATTAATCGTTGTTTTTATTTAATATGGAAGACTTCTTAAACTTTCAGTAGTTGTTTGCAGTTTTTCTTCTTGAGTATTATTATTATTATTATTTTTATTTTCTTTGATTTCTGGCGTTTACACATTTCTTTCCGGGTCCCGCCCAGGGACCTAAGGTTAGAAATGGCGTCATGACACTTTCCACTGACAAAAAAAAAAAAAAAAAATTACATAGATAAAGCCCTTCGTAAGGTGTGGGCTGTACTTTTCAGAACAATTTTTTGTATCTCCTTGAGGCATGGACTTCCAGGAATCCCTTCAATTAGTCTACTGCAATCTTTTCCAACCAGTCCTAGGGCTCCAACTACAACAGGGATTGTTGATGTTCCCATATTATTATTATTATTATTATTATTATTATTATTATTATTCACAAGGAGATTTCTTTTTGTAATTTTATGGATGAGCATCAAGAGCTGCCTCTTAGTATTTTAGATTAAATCATGTAACGGAAAATTACGAGAAAGAGTTGCACTTTATATACAAGATATCTTAATGTCTTTTCTGCTGCTTTCTGTGATCCAATTGCAAACTGGGCTATGGTATTTGTATACAATATTTTCTAACATCATATATTAGTGTTCACTATGACTACATATTGTTTTTAATTTCCTTATATATTCCGTTATGTCAGATGCGTGATACACGCTCAGGCAATCATGTTTCTTTTCAATATCTTTCGAGGCAGATATTTTTCCCGCAGTAGGATGCCATTTCCTTCTGCGGTAGACCAACCGTCATCCAAGGCTATAGAACCCGGTCTGTCCTGCTATTTACCCATATCTTTTACTCCGTCATTCAAACGAGTCACTTGCTCACTGTATCTTTGGTCAATAGTATTGTTTCTAGAATGATACATTCTTATTAACTACAATCAACGAGGAATAAGATTTGTATCCCTCATTATTATAATGTTCATTGACTGAAGCAAGTTTGTCTTAATTCAGAATAAAATCAACTTTCTTTTTATAGTAAATCAATATTTCACCACTAATTATAATGATATGCAAAAAACAAAAAAAGGTTTGTTTTTTCTGTTGCACACCAAAGAAAAGACAATTGGTGAAACAATGAATGATATTATTTTCCTAAAGTTAACGCGAAAACTATTTTCATTTTTGTTTCTGTTGACTCTACATGAAAAGGACCCCTGACTGGACCAGCAATAAATTCCAAACGAAATTGCAAATACGTTTCTAGGATTTCTCAAACTTTCTAAAAACGTTGGCATTACGTTGTTATCAGAGTAACATACATACATACATACATACATATATATATATATATATATATACACTAAAAATGAACAGAGTCCGACAATTTATTAATGTATTTAATAAATTGTCGGACTTTGTTCATTTCTTAATGTATGACGTCATTTGTTTACATTTGATACGCTATGAGCAGTTATGAATGTACGAGATTCATGGAAGATTGAAGTTTATAAGTAGTAAATTCGACCTTGCCAACCGAACGATCCTTCGTGGCCGAGAGGTTAGGCACGTCAAGCTAAATGACGGTTCCGTATAGGATGCATGTTCGTATCCTGTCAAAGGACGAATATTTTCTATGAAAATTTCTCGGACATTCAGGCCGGTAAATGTTATTTAATACTGTTTATTATAAACAGAGCATTTACTTTTAATGGACGCCGGATCATCAGATAGCACTTCCAAAAATGAAATTAAACGAAAAATGAGATTAAAATTGATGGGTAGTGTAAGTTTTTGTAATTTAACAGAGAGTGTAAAAGAAGTAGTTAAAGAGACATGGTAGAGTATAGGGAGGGATTAATTTCATATCTCTCTCAAGTATACTTTATATTGGGGTAGGAGGAGTGACCAGACCTTGACCTATTTAGACGGTTAACTTAACGGAAGTGATATATAGAAATAGGAGGGGAGTAGGGAGAAAAGAGAAAGGAAAAAGGAAAAAGAAAGAAGAGGGAGAGGGAGAGGGAAGTAAAGAGAAAGAGGTTGTAACTGGGTTTTAGCAATTTACGAAAAGAATAGATTTTAATGCTTGATAGTAATTTAGATGTCTAAAAAAAACGAATAAATTAATTTGATGTTGGCTATTGTTATACGAGAACATACCTATTCTATTGTAAATAGACTCTCCCATATATAATAAGTAGTAGTAGTAGCAGTCGCCAGTGGTATCAGAATAAGTTGGTGAGTCAGTCGATGTCGGACATTAAAGTATCAACGACCACAATTAAATTGCTGCGTCATTAACTATTATAACAAGTTTTGTACGTCGAACCTTATCTAGGACCGACTCAGTGAAATACAAGCCTCCAAGGTGAAAACTACTCTACAACAGCTATCAATTTAAATATTTAATTTTTTTTTAAGACAAATAGTTTAAGGATTTAATATAAGTTAAATACTATATTTATTAACACATTCATAGAGAACATATTAAAACATATTTTAAATTATAACAGTTTGTTTACCCAACCGATCGTACTTTTTTAATATTGTAAAAAATAGTTATGGTAACATCTTTAAATCTAATTTATAAATGCAATTTGTATATATATATATATATATATATATATATATATATATATATATATATACTTTTGCCTAAAGAAGGTCGTGCAAACCCTGAAACACGTGCTGAAAAAATTATGGAAAATAAAGCATATATATTTTTCTTAAAAAAATCCACATTACAACAAAAATGTTTGGGGTTTCTCTCTTTTTGATATATACACTTTTCTCTCGGTGGAACAACTATAACCTCTTCCATATATATATATATATATATATATATATATGTTTCATTATCAACTAGCGGCGAATGTTTCGTTTTTGTTACTTTTATCGATCTTATCAACACTGCTTTGTGATTTTCGGTTTGTATTGGAATGCCAGAATTCTCATATCTTCTTCGACAAGAGAAACTCGCCTCGAAATAAGGCCTACATATCTAACAATAGCTTCATTGAAACACATTTCATCAAAACACACAAAGGAAAAACCACAGCATAAAAAAGTTAAACAGAATGTTATTGCAAAAATATTCTTTGAAAATGGTGTTAGCCGAAAGTACTCAGAAGATATGGCCAATTTCATATTCAACATCCAACCTTATTAGAAGTGTTGAAAAGATCAATAATAAATATGTTAAAGACAAAACATTTTCTGAAATATGCAAAAACGAAAAATTGCAGCACCTTATATATATATATATATATATATATATATATATGAAGAAAAATATACGGAAAAACAAAAATCCGAATATGCAATTACGCTGTTTTAATGTTAATTTAATGCCGACGTCAGACGTTTCGGTCTAGTAGATCTTCTTCAGGACATAGTTATTAAAACATAGTTAACATTAGATGATATTCAAGTCAACATGAAAAGACGATGGACATAGGAGTAAGACTAATCAAAACAGAATAACTGAAATTTTTAAGATCAGCGTTCCGTTTCACAATATGATCACGTATTCATATACTGTTGATCTTGTCATTAGTTACTGGGTAACTGAATGAAAAAAATGGGAATAAAATCCCTTATGTTATGTGTTTCGACTTTCGAAATAACTTCTTCAGAATAATAACGGTTTTTTGTCGATGTCGAATTTCTCATTCTGCTTAATAGTAATTTTTAAAATTTTTGTCTGATATTAGTACATTATTATAGGGAACTCCATATATTCCCTTGATTAATATGATAATTGAGCTTGTGACGGTTTCCCATAGCGCATGGTAAAGATCACTTGACTTGAAAATGGCTAACCTCCGATTATGAAATTAATATTTATAACGATTCTGATCGAGTATCGTTCATTTTAATAAGAGTTTCGATCCCTTAGATATAAATTTCATAGTTTAAATTACAGGTATAATTACTGAAAAACATGTCTATAATAACACATACACACACGCGCAAACGCATATACACACACCCCGACACAGAGACACACACATATGCATATATATAATAAAAATATTGTTTCAAGCTCTGTTATAATTATGGGCTAAAATGCTCAACATCAGGGAATATAAAAGTGGACACTGGTTTCAACACCATGTGGCGACAGCGTGAAGAATGAGTTCAGGCATGAAACAAACTATCCTCACTCTTATGTTGACCACTGTGTCAACTTTTACATTTTAACGTTGAGGAAAACTGTATATTAATTAACAGTATAAATAGCGCAGTTTTACTAACTAATCACTGGGAATCACTACTATATATATATATATATATATATATATATATATATATATATATATATATATATGGCACGATTGGTAAATTGTTCCCATATTATATTTTTAATTTTGCTCATGTGCGTTGAATGTTTTTGATATAGCTGATTGTACAGTACAGTAGGGTCAGTTGGGCACCGTCTGTGAGAAAGAGAGAACCATGACGCAATTCATTCCGCCAGAAATTTGGAAACGGCATACTATACTACTTGCCATTCCGGTCGAAAGCTCCAATACGAATATTTCAGAATGTTTGGTTGTCAATCTGTGGAGAATGCAGATAATTTGGAAAGAGTTGGATGAGTGTAATTGTGATTACGAAGGCACAGTAGCTCTGAAAATTTCACTCTGCTCGTTCTGATAAGAAAAGAACACC